CTGTGAAGCCTGAAGTCAACTAAAGGGCTAATGATAACTATTTGATATAAATTTCAACAATTCTTTCTCCATGTTATGAAGGTTCATAAATTGGCTTCTACTAGAACTACTGCCCATTGAAAAGGGGGTTGGAGGAGATGGAAATGGTCACGCTCAAGAACAAAGCTGCAATGAGCGCTGCTATTGTTTGAACGCCTTTAAAAATGGCTCATTTTGACACAAGTTGGCTACCCTGTTCTCCCTCTCTCTTAAAAAAGGGTTTAGTGACATCCGTTTAGATGGAAAGGCGGAGAACTGGTGATGGAGTAGTGGTTTGCAGACTAGGAAATAGTATCAGAATCATATATTGTCTTGATATGTGGTTCAACGCGGTACTTTCGAGGCCAACAGAAGAAAGAATAGTAACTTAGTAATATGACCTAATTACATTTAACAATTACAATGTTAAAATAGAGATTGATAGGCTCTGGTTGAGTCACGTCAGAGTAGTTTGCCTGCATTGAGAATTCTAGGCATTAAGGAGGGGACGAAGTTCCTAAAAAGGCAAACAAAGACAAAAGGTAAATAATGCAAGAGAAAGATGATTTAGTATTTTTATTCAACAAAGAACGTGAGGCCATGACACCTGGATATTTCAAGTAAAGGGGACAAATACACCGGTGACTCAGTGGTCAACGTGGGCGTCTGTGAAGATAGAGATCACGGATTCCATGGGCACTGGTGTGTGCACTCCCCCCCCAAACCCTCTCCTGAGAAAAGAGCAAGAGTGGATTCTAATCCCTACCCCCAAATTGGAAGTGGGGTGTGCGATAGACTTATCTCCACGTGGTGCACACTGGGCAACGTGTGCTCATACGACAAATAAGTCTATAAACCGCCAGTTGACTTCTCACTTCAAACTACCATAACCCGACGGTATTTCATATTCGACCCCTTTCACAGTACTCATCTCACCTCACCTTTTCTCTACATTTGTCTTTGTCTCCTTTGCATCTTTGAAACACTCTTCTGTTCTCCCCCCCCCCATCTCGACCTTTTTCACTTTGATGTTCCTCCTCCCCTCTGTGAAGCCTGAAGTCAACTAAAGGGCTTATGAAACTATCAAAATGCCTGCCATTTGATATAAATATTGAAGTGGTCATAATTCACTACTAGATGAGATACAGTAGATTGGCTGTGTTGGAAGCTCCTTCTGAAGGTTCTAAGTGGAGGAATATTTGTAGGGTGTACGTGGAGTGTTTGCTAGTATTTGAGTTTATTCTATTTTTCGCTAAACTTAAATCGTTTACTTCACTTCTTACTCCTATATGTTTGTCAATTTAAGTATCAGAAGTCAAATTTGTCTTCTTGTATCTACCAGTTTTCAAGATGTTTCAAGCCAACATTATCGAAAAGTTGGACGACAAGTCTACTCATTTGCGGTGTGTTTTATTAAAATAATTGCGGCTTGAACGCTGTGTTGTGCTTTCGGTAGGTTTCTTCGCTATTGGCGCTCAACTTTCTGGCTGAGAAGTTGTTGCGGTTTAGATGGCTCTCTCCTTCCCCTTTTCCACTCTTGTTGTGTCTCTACGCGCGTCCCACCACTTTGTGCTGCCTCTATGACAGGAACTGAGATAGCTGCTGTCTTCTTCGGTGGAATTAGGTTTAGTGACCTTGCTAGAAGAAAATACTTTTACTGATATGTCGTTATCGAAGAAGCCCACTGACAAATCATCCCCAAGGTCTGGCCTTTGCCCTACTGTGCTGGAAGCCTTAGCCATCAATTAGTGGAAGTATCAATGCTTATTAAGTTGTGCTATCTCGCTTCCAACTCATTCTAGTTGGAGTTAGGGACCAGTTAATTCAAATGGCATCACATCTACTGCATAAGAGATCTTATGTTACTCAATTATGCTTAGTTTGCATTGGTTGCGTTAGTGTATTTCTCTTCAAGTAATGTTTCGTTTTTGTTTCTCTCAGGTGCAGATGTCTGGAGGTAAGTTCATTTGAGCGTTTAATTGTGTTTTTTTTGCGTTCATCACGTTGCATCGCCTTTAACTTTCTTCTTCGCTTTCCACCCATGAAGTGACGTGAAGCCGTCAAATATTTTGATGCGACGAAACGGCGAGATCAAATTATGCGATTTTGGCGCGAGTGGAAAACTGATCGACTCGGTAGCCCACTCTTTTGTGGGGTCAAGGTCATACATGGCGCCGGAACGGATTTCGGGCCAGTCGTACAACACTTCCTCCGATGTTTGGAGTCTCGGTTTGACACTGATCGAGTTGGCAACCGGACATTATCCCATCCCAGCACTGGAGAATGAAGCTGCCTACTTCACGGGCTTCTCCTCAGACCGCAACACAAACCTCCGTGAACACATCACCGCTGCTCGGGAGGGGAAAAAACTTCCACGTAAGTCCTCTTCCCCTCGTCCCCAAAGGTGGGGGCGGGGGGGGGTGATGGAGTGTAATGAAAAGGTGTTCAGAGTTGAACATGTTTTAGGCAGATTTCATAAGCCATCCCCCCACTGAGCTGGCAATCCGTTTAGCCTCGTACGATCGTCATCACACAACAAGACAGAAAAGGAGGGGAAGTTCTCGCGGGTGTTGACTTGGGGGGGGGGGGGTTAGTAAGCTTGAAGCATTAGGGCGGAGGGAGGGAGAGAGAGAGAGGGGTGGAGCACGCGCAAGTACAGCTAGAAGCAATTCAGTTTTTGTTAACTGGTTTCTGTTGGTTTGCAAGTCAGGTTACTTAATCGCAGATCTTGAGGAATATTTGGGGGATTTTGCAAGAGTGGATTTCCTGTGGTGGCTTTGAAGAAATACTTTTTCGGTGCCGATGGAGATTCAGTGAGTCAGGTTATGTTATTGAGAGGGATTCAACGATATTTTATTTCTGTGGTTCTCTAATGTTGTTTGAGATAGCGGGAAGAGCACAGCAAGCCTATGCCACTCTTTTATCGTTTGTCTTGCCTCCTTTGTGTAGCGGTAACAACTCCAGAACAGGCACCTCTGTCAATCTTTGAATTGCTGGTGTTGGTCGTCGGTCAGCCATTGCCACGGTTACCCCGAACATGCTTTACAGATGACTTTATCGACCTAGTCGCCTCGTGTCTGCGAACGGAGGCAACGGAGAGACCGACGTTGGATGCTCTTCTACGACATGCCTTCGTGACCACAGTGGCGGGTTTGTTGCCTGTCGGCGCAAACCGACGCAGTTCCATTCGATTCCGATGTGATCCTTCCACGACAGCTGCAACGGTGACGACCCATGGAGGAGGGGGAGGTGGTGGAGGAGGAGGAGGAGGAAACAGTGGGGCTAGCTCGGCGCCTGGGGATGGAAGTGGTGACTTCAATATGGACGACATTGCTTTCTATCTCTCACACATCCTACCACCCCACGATGGGATCGGCTGATTGAACAACCTCCCATCTTTGTCGTTAACCCTGCCTCCCTGATTTCTCTCTATCCAGCACCTTTAGAAATGGATGATGTGTGTGTGTGCGTGTGACCTTTCCCTCTTGTATTGACGTTGTGATACCCTCCTCTATCACACTCGTTTTTTGTCTCTGCTGCAGTGTGTATATTAGTTTTCTCTCTACTCAATTATACTGAGATTAACCCACTCTGGGAATCAGTGGCCTTCTGGCTTCAATGACCAGTCAGTGTCGGAATGAACTTGCGAACTGTTGGCTAGTACAACGAGGTGGGAAGTAGTCGGTAGCAGAGTTGGGACGTCACAGGAGTTGCACTTTGTTGGATGATGATGTGTCCGAGTAATGGCAAGGCTAGCATGACACAATGCATTGTTAAGGAAGAGAGGGAGAGAGCAGTTTCCTTCTTCGCGGGAGAATGTCAACACTGAGCTTCCCTTCTTCGGGAAATGAGCCTCCCTGTAGCACTTGGAGTAGCCTTAAGGTTTTCTCAGACGATGAGTGCTAATTTTGAAAGAAGATTATGAAGGCCTGGTTCTGCGAAGACCTCGATAAGTCTTACTTGAACTGGTGAATGGGGAGATTTTAGAATGGGTGGGTGGATTAGGAGTTGTAGTTGCAACTTTGGTGCTTTGCGTGAAGCAGTCGAGGTTTGGCGACTTGACCATTGGAGTGCCTGATGTCCGGGAGGTTCATTGACTGAATCGAGTATTTGTTCAGTCCATGCGGACGGATTTTCTTTTCAAATGGGCAAGAACACTGTCGCCGTATTAGCCTCTATCTACCCAGACATTTTATTGCCTGATCAATTTGGCCTGTACTGCATTCTCTTTTTAAAAGGCGGGGGGGGGGGGGGGGGGGGGGGGGGGAAAG